GTTTGACTGGAAACGGCTTAAACTCCGTTTGACTGGAAACGGCTTAAGCTCCGTTTGACTGGAAACGGCTTAAGCTCCGTTTGACTGGAAACGGCTTAAGCTCCGTTTGACTGGAAACGGCTTAAGCTCCGTTTGACTGGAAACGGCTTAAACTCCGCTTGACTGGAAACGGCTTAAACTCCGTTTGACTGGAAACGGCTTAAACTCCGTTTGACTGGAAACGGCTTAAACTCCGTTTGACTGGAAACGGCTTAAACTCCGTTTGACTGGAAACAGCTTAAACTCCGTTTGACTCGAAACAGCTTAAACTCCGTTTGACTCGAAACAGCTTAAACTCCGTTTGACTCAAGCTTCAAACAGAACTGAACGTACGACAGATTTTCATTTTGGGTTTAAAAACAAAAACGCCAACAGGAAGAAGAAACGAACAGACTGATTCTAACTTTTCTTCTTCTCCAGGATTGTTTTTGTTCTCAGAAGTTTAAATTTTATTCTGCCAGCTGATCAATTTAAAAACGTTGAACTTGTTTCTCTGGATGAAGTTGTTGTTTTCATCTGATTCTATTTTCTCTGCTTTTTTTGGTCCCGCGGTGCGTTCAGGACCGTCGGGAACGCGAGCAGCAGGATCTGGAGTTTGCCAAAGAAATGGCCGAAGACGACGACGACAGCTTCCCATGAGCCTCTCTGCTGACTTCCTGTGCAAACAGGAAGTATCTGTGTTAGCAGATCAGCCATTACCCACAACCCCCCTCTTCCCTTCTTGTTTCTGGTGATGTTGCAGCTCCAAGTTTCACTCGGCTGCCGTTTGTTGTTTCTGACACAAATAAATCCTGTTTTTGTTTACTCTGTTCACGCTGTTTGTTTTTCTGCTGAATGAGGCCAGGACAAATAAAGTCAGAGTTGATTAAACCTGATTCAGCTCAAAGTTCAGATCCATTCTATGTGGGATTCTTAGACGTTTCTTTTTTACCTGTAACATTTTAATGTGGAGGTTAAGACATCCTGATCCAAAACAACCCTGAGGTTCTTTACATCAGAACTGGCTGCAGAGTTCTTAAGATGCTCGGGTCCAAAAATCTTAACCTCTGTCTTGTCTAAGTTTAAAAGCAGAAAATTTAGGATCATCCAGGTTTTTTTTTTCTCTTTAAGACGTTTGTAGTCGTAAGTAACTGATTGGATTAATCAGGTTTCATTGTGTAACACTATCATCAACACAACAATGACCATTTATCTAAAACCTTTACCTGATGGGAGCAAAGATAAAGAGTATCAGTCTGAACCCTGAGGAACTCCATGACTAACTGATGTATGAAGATTCATTGTTAACACGAACAAACTGGAATCAGTCGGATAAATACGATTTAAACCATTTAAAACAGGAAACATGCAAAAGTAATGAGATGGTTCTGGGCTTGGATCAGGGTTCTGGCCACGGATGAACACGTTCTGCTCACATGCCGAAGAAGAAGAGATGGGTTTGTTTGATTTATATGAAAAAAACAAACTGAAAAACAAGCTGCACAGGAGGTGACCTGCAGCCGAAGACCCACAACCGAGACCGTCAGCCAAAGACCCACAACCGAGACTCAGCTGAAGACCCACAACCGAGACTCAGCTGAAGACCCACAACCAAGACCGTTAGCCAAAGACCTACAACTGAGACCGTCAGCCAAAGATAAACCAACACACTTTGGCTGTTCCATCTCGATAAACACATACTAAAAAAATAGTTCTATTTTCCAACATTTCATTTGTCAGAGGGTGCGGGTGCTTGGCTGACTGTCTCGGTTGCGGGTCTTCGGCTGACGGTCTCGGTTGTGAGTCTTTGGCTGACGGTCTCGGTTGTGGGTCTTTGGCTGACGGTCTCGGTTGTGGGTCTGGGTCCTACTGTTTTTTTTCTTCTCCTGTACCGACCCGGATTTACGAGCAAGCTGCAGAGCAAGGTGCACTCACTAATTACTTCCTGCCTTCGGATGAACCTCCAGCAGTCGGCCGCTGTCAGCCGTGGAGCGTCTGATGCTGCAGCCTGCATGCATGCGAAACAAGTGTTTTAGCAATAAATCTTCACCTGTGCACATGACAGGTGAAGTTTTTGTTCTTTACATCAAAACTAGACGAGAGGCGGGACTAGAGATGGGACGAGAGGCGAGAAGAGAAGCGAGACGAGAGGCGGGACGAGAGACGAGAGGTGAGACAAGAGGCGAGACGAGAGGCAGGACGAGAGACGAGAGGCGGGACTAGAGATGGGACTAGAGATGGGACGAGAGGCAAGACGAGAGGCGGGACAAGAGGCGGGACGAGAGGCGGGACTAGAGATGGGACTAGAGATGGGAAGAGAGGCAAGACTAGAGGCGAGACGAGAGGCGGGACGAGAGGCAGGACGAGAGGCGAGACGAGAGGCGGGACTAGAGATGGGACGAGAGGCAAGACGAGAGGCTAGACGAGAGGCGGGACGAGAGGCTGGACAAGAGGCGAGGCGAGAAGTGAGCCAAGAGGCGAGAGGCAAGTCGAGAGGCGGGACGAGAGGCGAGACGAGAGGTGAAACAAGAGGCGAGACGAGAGGCGAGACGAGAGGCGAGACGAGAGGAGAGACGAGAGGCAAGACGAGAGGCGAGGCGAGACGAGAGGCGGGACGAGAGGCGAGACGAGAGGCGGGACGAGAGGCGAGACGAGGGGCGGGACGAGAGGCGAGACGAGAGGCGGGACTAGAGATGGGACTAGAGATGGGACTCGACAGTGACTCTGGGGGGGAAGACGCCCTCTGCTGGGGCGGAGTTGAACGGCATCTGAGACCGTCAGCCAAAGACCCACAACCGAGACCGTCAGCCGAAGACCCACAACCGAGACCGTCAGCCGAAGACCCACAACCGAGACCATCAGCCGAAGACCCACAACCGAGACCGTTAGCCGAAGACCCACAACCGAGACAGTCAGCCAAGCACCCTCTGACAAATGAAATGTTGGAAAATAGAACTATTTTGTTAATACAAGTGTTTATCGAGATGGAACAGCCGAAGTGTGTTGGTTTACCTACAGAAACAGCCGAATGGTGCTTGTTCTTCAGACTGTTTCAGTGAATATTACAAATTTTAATTTATTGTCCTTTAGCCCCACAGCATGATGCTACCACCTCCGTGCCTGACAGTACAGTGTTCGTCTCACCTGACTCCTCCCATTCTTATATCATTTTCAAATCTTTGTCCCCTCTAACCATCAAACTCGTCCATGTGGACAGCTGCAGGTTTCAGTCAAGCTTGAAGGTTTTGGAGCTTCTTTCTTGTTCCTCAGTCCACAGAGACGTGAACAATCAGCTCCATGGACTCTGATGTTCCAGCAGAGTCCAAGTCATGCTGGACAGCCAAACCAGTTTTCTTTCATCTGACGGGGGACACACGATTGCAGCTCAACTATCAAATCCAACGAAAAACCACCAGCTGCAGTCAGTCATGGTCACTTAACAGGAAGTTAACAGGCCCTGTCAAGTAAAAAGTCTTTCTAGAACCTTCAGCAGATGGACAGATGTAGGTGACAGTGTTTCGTTATGAAATCTGTAAATACAAACAGAAGTTAAACTAAATCTGATGCAAGAAGAGCTCTGGAAACAGAATGTTTGTTCAGACTGTGGAGGACAGAAACACGTCACAACACATTACACACACAGCTGATGAGACAACTTCTGTCCCCTCAGCTAAGAAAAGGCGAGATCAAAGGAGAGCTGAGGGACGTCTTTCATCCAACAGGAAGTAAAACTGTTTGATTTCCTGCTGACGAGCAGGATTCCAGGATTTCTTAAAAAGCATGATGACACCCAGGAATAAACCTGCTTCACACAGTAGGACGCTTTGTGTCCTCACATGAAAACACACCTTAAACATAAAGCAGGCCTCACCTGACCTCACCTGACCTCACCTGACCTCACCTGACCTCACCGGTCCGCAACTGTCAAACAACTTTAAGCAGAACAAGTAAAGAAAAGATTGCAACCAACCAGGTAGGGTCAAGGATACTTTTGAAGCTGTCAGTGATGTTTACATACAGAAACAGCCAAAGTGTGTTGGTTTACCTACAGAAACAGCTGAAGATTGTTGGTTTACCTACAGAAACAGCTGAAGTTTGTTGGTTTACCTACAGAAACAGCTGAAGTGTGTTGGTTTACTTACAGAAACAGCTGAAATGTGTTGGTTTACCTACAGGAACAGCTGAA